CCTACCTAGAAAGTGGTCACGGAAGGCAGTGCTGACCCCCAGACTTCCACTGTCCTGTGTCTGTACACACTCGGCACACTTCTGGGCAAACAGGGTTCGCATCAGGTGTTCTCCACTTCCTGTCAACATGTCAACAGTGGAATCTTACATATTATGGTACAGATTATTTGTAGTGTGAAATCTCTATAACTCATTAGCTTTAATGTAATGATATGAACGGGGTACAGATGTTTCGGTACTTGTTTAAGATGTTTCCGTACTTTCCAAAAGTTGTTTTGATGTTAAATATTAATTAAGACACTTTGACTAACATCTTCTCTAGATTTTTGTGTCCTGTGTGTTGCTGATTAAACATTTTAAGATTTTCTGCATTTTCCGTCTTCACAAAAAAGAACTGAAACATTCTATTCTTTAAAACTTCAACAGTTTGTACTGAAACGACTAAAATTCATATAAACAGGTTTTCTAGTTCAAATGAATTATGTATTTCTTTTACAGAAAGAATACATGGTAACAAGCTTAGATTTGAATGAATTTATAGATATATTAGAGTTTACTAGTATGTGTTTATAAAAATGAAAACCAAAATTTAATACCTGGGTACCAAATTCAAAAATCAGTTAATCATTAAATCTCACATAGCTTTGAATGTACAGTTTACAATGTGTGATTTTTTTGTGATAATGTGTTTTTTTCGAGTACATGTATAACTTTTATAATTACACTGTAGTGGAATAAGTTGATTTGTGGAAACACATACATGCGTAAATATTTCTAGTAAAATAATTCTCTTCAGATCATATTTATGATGACTTATTATTGACAATGTTTTATATAATTACCTGATGTTGCAACGGCCACCCCTGCCTTTTTGTCAGATTTCCAGTTGTGCGCCCAGCATCCTGCACCGTACATGGCAGCCTGCAAAAAAAGAAATTCTTTCAGACATTTTTTCTTCAAAATATGCTAACCAGAATGATTTCACTCTGTACATTAAACATTTCTACATTACTTTACCTTGCAATTATCTATTTCATTTCATTGCTTTTCTCAACCTGTTATACATCGCTTGTGAAGCTAAATAGCTGACAACCACTGTAGTGCTTGTAGCCTACTCTTATTTGGACATTTTCTGAGGTTTCTTTTTTATTTGAATTGAATCGTGAGTCTTGAATGCCATCTGAGGGACTACAGGTAACAAGTGCTCTATGAATGGGCCGAAGTTTGTGTGAGTATTCCCATCAGATTCTGTGGACTAAGAGTACTTACAGGGCCAAGTCTACCGGAGTGTTTCAGCGAGATACCCCCACTAGACACAGCAGCAGACATGTTTCCTTCAGAATCCATGGCAACAGCTCCTACAGTATCCTGAACATCTTCACTGATGCAAGGAAGAGGTGTATCTTCCTCATTACAGGCCTGAAATATTTCCATTGTCAAGTTTTCATTTTATCTAATGCCATGTGTAATATATCATCAATTAAAATGTAATTAAGCACAGTAACAAGCTTCATAAATAAAGAAAATTGTATATTTGTATAAGGTATACTACATTATACAAGTATACTGTATTATAAAGGTATATCATATTACCTTATGCAGTTTTCCTATATTACCTTGATTTTACTGGGTTTATATTTTACTCTTTCCTGTTCAACTAAACATATAAATCCTATAACTAAACACTGACTAATGTTGGCAAATTTAGATAACATATATTACACAGACACAATCATGTCAGCTGCTCTGGACACTAACTGACCTTGGAAGAAGGTACAGTCAGCCATTTTGCTCTCTTCCTCCTCATTCTTTCCTCATGTTGCTCTAGTTTCCTTTTGTGGGAAGCATAAGTTTTCAATGAGGAGTCTGTAAACAATTTTTAACATTATATATGACACTGTACAATACTGATATCATTCTATTGGGAACATTACATTTAGGTATATTTGAGACATTTATCTATGATTCGTCCTTCTTCTGATGAAGTAGGTAGAGCTGCACAATATGTATTATACAGTCATAAACTATTGGAAGTGTTAAATACTTCACAGTATATCTTACTTTTACAACATGATTGCAGAATACATATATCAGCAGAATTTCCTAAAGCGAAATAATTCTATAATCATCACTTAAATCTGCTTCCACAAGTTACAATATGAAATTTTAAGAGAGCTGACAATGTCTATGGGGAGACAACTTCCTGTAACCAAAACTAATTTTGTAAAATTACAAAACTAATTTTGTAAAATAAGTTTTAAGTTTATTCCTTAAATGTAATAAAAAATTCGGACAGAAACGTATATCTTTGTATAAACTATTGATGTTACTCTACCTGTTTTCAGTTGTTTGTTGTCGATCAGCTCGACTCCATTATCCTGTGCCCATTTGCATGCTCCTTCACCAACTAACACACTGTCAAATAATATAACAAGGACAACAGAGATAAGTATAAAATGATGAACATGGGTTGCCTGTTTCAACTTTATATATAATTATTTAAAATAGGTTTTTGCTGATTTCCATGAATTGTTTTAACTACATTGGGTATCAAGTAACCCACCGGTAAATAATGTAGCAAGTATGACATGTACAATGAATAGGGGTTGATGGGTTCAGGTTGTTATACATATTTTTGTTTATTTAAATATTGGTTCCTGCTGATTTCTTTTCTGACTTTTTTGGGTATCAACTAACACTCTGTCAATTAATGTAACAACTGTAACTTGCAAAATATGAGTTGCATGTGTTTCAATATTTTACACATACATTTCATACATTGATAACTACATGGCATCAACTTACAATGACAGATACAATACAGAGTAGTACATATAGAGTAATTTTATTTCAATTTGATAATTTTCACAATTTCGTCTTGATACCGGTAAGTTGTAAGCTGTTCTAGGGACATGGAATTCTATGCGTAGAGACAGACTGAGGACAATTCTACTTCACAACATGCAGAATGAATTATGTCTGCATAAAAAGTAGGAAAGGTAAAATGTGTTTGACACATTTATTAAACTCATTGCTACCTGCAGGTTGATCAGTCAATCACACTAGTAAAGTAACCTCAGACTTGAGAGGGGTGGTTAACAGTGATTAACAATTCTTTCCTGTGAAATGTTTGATTAAAAATAAACCTTATACATTTCACAACAATTATGAAATAAGTTTTTCAACTTATAATAATCACTCT